GTGTGTGTGTGTGTGTGTGTGTGTGTGTGTGTGTGTGTGTGTGTGTGCGTGCACGAGTTTACATAGGATTGTGCAAATACATTTGGGCACAAATGTCTATTTTTTCAATATAATCGTGGGTCTTCATTGTCAAAGCCAGAGTTTTAGTCACCAGTGATTGTCTATTAACTAATAACCAGCAAGTTGGATGTTAGAACAGGCTACCAGTCCTGAAACAATCAATTTTGGTCAAATCTTATTGTGCATAATTGTTGTGCCAGACATCTTACTGTGCTTCTCTTGTTATCCCTCCACAGGTTCTTGGAGCAACGTAGAGCAATCAGTGCTGAAAGTGACCGATGGCCTTGGCAGTGTACCGAACCAGACAATGAGAACCAAATTAGAGGAGAGCTTGTCACTAGTAAAAGGGTGACGATTCCTGCCTCGTTCCCAAATATTGAATACGTAGATCTATTTAACTTTGGCATGAGGCTGCTCTGCCTAGACGTGGCAATATATTCATTCAAAGTACATCACAAATACTCTTCGTCACGCTAAACTCTTCCCTCTTTCCTCAGTATTCCCATGATGCTGTCTGAGCAGAGTGACCCTAAGTTCCACGCCTCCTTTCCATCCGTCCACGCCTTCATCATGCTGGAGGGGACCATGAATCTGACCGGGGAGACACAGCCACTGGTGGAGCAGCTGATGATGATCAAGAGAATGCAGGTGAACATTTAGTTGCAAAGAAATGTCACGTTAAATCTTCCTTGAAATTGCAGTGAAGGGAAAAGTGCCTGAACAATCTTTTAATACCTCAAAATGAATATAGCTTGATGGTAGTTCATTTAACAAGGTACTTTTTTTATCAGAGTGGCCAGTGTTGTGTGTCTTGCAAAGAATTAACAAAGGGACGAGAGAGGTTCAAGATCAAACTTAATCCAAAGAGTCTTAATCTAACTTTCTCTGGAAAGAGAGTTTGTTTTTAATTGTTTTTCAGTTTCTTCCTACAAGAATTCCGGCACAAGTCATAATAAGACTCCTCTATTGTGTGCATGTCATTTATTATTTTAGCAGCAGTCTCTTTTTTTTTTTTTTGTCCTCCACAGCGAATCCCTGCGCATTTGTTTGTCTTGGAGATCTGGAAGGCCTGCTTCACTGGCCTCATCGAGTCACCAGAGGGCACAGAGGAGCTCAAATGGACTGCGTTCACATTCCTGAAGGTAAGATCTGTTTTAGAGATGAGAGCTGTTACCAGCTATCTGCTTGTGATCTGCCTCTCTGTCTGTCTTTCTCTTTCGCTCAGCCGCAGTGTTTAATGTCCTTTTTGACTTTAAATTGATGTCAAATTAAATGCTGATGTCCTGCCAGTTTTGAACTTTATTAGTTTGTTCATTTTCCTCTTTTAGGTTTTTATTGACGGTATTATTTTCACTCTCTAGTCTTTGCCTGAATTGACCGTAGTTTATTGTTACATCCAGTAATGAATTCAGTATATAAGGTAAACTGATGTACATCTGATAAAGGCACCAGAGACCGGATTACATAAGCGTTGTCGTATCTTTGCACATGCAACTCAGCCACAAATTCATTTCTTGTTTCTTTACATCAGATCCCACAAGTTCTTCTGCGACTAAAGAAGTATCCTCAGGGTGACAAAGGACAGGTACCACAATAGACTCACTGATGTCTTTCTAACAAATGAACACACTGGCACAATCATGAGCTTTTAGTAGTTCTAAGCAGTCTTGTTCTTAAAAAAAGCAATAACGTGGAAATGTAATGTGATGACACCGTTACTTTCACTCTTAACATGGCAAATGTATCTTTCCAGGACTTCATGGACGATGTGAATATTGCGTTTCAGTACTTACTCAAGCTCACACCATTACTGGACAAAGCTGATCAGAGATGCAAGTAAGTGCTCCGAAATCGTGCCACAACCATCTTCCCCTCCCCGTAATCTCACCGTCGGACATTCTAGATAAGAGAGCCAGGCTGTGACGCTTCACATTTTTCTCGTGCTTCTTCGCATAGTTGTGACTGCCTCGGCATGCTCCTGCAGGAGTGTAACAAGCTCGGTCTGCTGTCGGATTCAAACACAACCTGTCTCACTTCAAAACGGTACGGGTTCCCATCTCACAGTGAACACATGTGATGCAAAACTGTTCATAAAAAGGACAATTGTGTGTTGTTTTTTAATCTCTTTTCATTATTTTAGTTGGGATGAAGTTCAGTTCACCATATTCACACAATACACCATGTTCCCCCTCCACCCCGTGTCTGTCTCTCCTCTCCCCCCTTTCCTTCCTGTCCCTCTCCCGTTGCACATTTGATTCAGGACCGATGACAGGGAGTTCGCCCCGAGGTTAAAGACAGCAGAAAATGCAAACATCCAGCCTAACCCGGGTCTCATCCTGCGAGCTGAGCCCACTGTCACTAATATTCTCAAGGTAGAGCACCGTTTACCGGATCGAGGTTTTTACAAGGCATCCTCCGTGTGCTTTGTATAGATTGTATACCGTGAAGGAAATGTATGAGTGTGTCACTGTGAGTAAGTGTCTACAGGTGGCTCGCAAAGATCACAGAACTACGATGAGTACGCCGATGCAAAAAAAAGAACAAATGAGCATAACTCTTGCTGTTTCATTCATTAGACGGTAGATGCAGATCACTCCAAGTCGCCCGAGGGCCTTTTGGGGGTCCTGGGACACATGTTGTCTGGAAAGAGCCTAGATCTGCTCTTGGCGGCAGCTGCAGCCACTGGGAAACTCAAATCCTTTGCCCGGAAGTTCATCAAGTGAGTAAATGCAAAATAGATTTGCAAGTTAAGATAAATGGTCCCCTTAGTCACTAGAATGCTGACTTATTTATTGACCTTCGTGCCAATTAGCAGCCATATTTTAAAGGGTGGAAACTCCAGTTGGCCTAGGAAGTGGCTTTTCAACAGGATGTTTCATATCTTGTAATGTATTTTTATTTTTATTTTTTTGTTCCAGGCTTAATGAGTTTCCCAAGCACATCAGCGGCGAAGGATGTGAGTTGAAATACAAGAGCGACATGTTCCAATGTGGGAGTTTCTCCCCTCATTGACATATTGTTTATTAAGTGAGATACTAACATTGAGGATTTTTCCCCTCCTCCTCTTCAGCCAAGTCGGCGTCCGTTCGGGCCCTGCTCTTCGACATCTCCTTCCTCATGCTCTGCCATGTGGTGCAGACGTATGGCTCGGAGGTTAGTTCATGGCAATACAAGCTCGACAGGGAGAACAAAACAATATAATGATGTTAATGGGTGGAGTATTTTTCAGCAAATCAGTCTGCTCTTTCATGGTGAGGCCACAAGAGGTCCAGAGAGGGCTGTGTAGAAGTAATATAACATTTTCTGAAGCAGGTGTGCTCACTGAACGGAATATTGCAGATTTGATTCGATCTATGTCGTCTGTCCGCTTTGACCGATTTAAGCCTAAATTGATCCATACAGCACAAGGCCACCCCGTATCTCTCCTTTCCAGGTGATCCTCTCAGACCCCAGCCCTTCAGGGGAGACGCCCTTCTTCGAAACGTGGCTGCAGACATGTATGCCTGAAGATGGCAAGACTCTGAACCCGGACCACCCCTGCTTCAGACCAGAGCCTGGCAAAGTGGAGAGCCTGGTCACCCTGCTGAACAACTCCTCAGAGATGAAACTAGTGTAAGTGATGGACCTAATGCTTTATGCTTTATCCCCTTTACTGTCAGTCACTTAACATACTTTACCCAGCTGATGACAATTCTCACCTTATCATTTGGGGTTTTTAGACCACAATGCTGCTCTTGGTTCTTTATATTTTTAGTGGGCTCTGCTTTAGACTGGTGCCATCTTAACCGAGCCTTTTTTAAATGTGGATCTTAGACAAATAATGACTTGCAGAGTACAATAGTGGTTCATCTTATTTTTGTCATTATGGAATGAATGCTCTGAACACGGAAGAACTTCCTCTGACGTTTATCTCTTGTGACAGTCAGGTGAAATGGCATGAAATCTGCCTCAGCACGCCAGCAGCCATCTTGGAAGTTCTAAATGCATGGGAGAATGGAGTTCTCTCAGTGGAGGCAGTACAGGTCTGTTCAGCGTTTAATGTTCTTACTATTTTGTTTTTTTCCTTTGACTGGAAAATATTTTTCTGAGATTTCCTGAGTGTCAGTAGCTCACATGATGCTCAGTCAGTACCGGTAAGTTAGTTGATTCATTACTCAAGTGAGGGTGATGTATTCTGTGGAAATTGACAAGTAAAAATGTGTAAGAACTTGCATCAGCAGTGACGTCCCAAAGTTCTCGTTTTTTTTTTTTCCACCGGCTCCATTCAAGTTTTGACGGATGCTGTTTTAGTCAGAATCCTCTCTCCTTTACCCATACCCCGCACTCTTCTCACCACATCCTTCCTTCCTCTTTTTCCTCTTGCCGCTGTCATCTCTCTCTCTCTCTCTCTCTCTCTCTCTCTCTCTCTCTCTCTCTCTCTCTCTCTCTCTCTCTCTCTCTCTCTCGAGTGTAGAAGATTACCGACAACATCAAGGGCAAGGTGTGCAGTATGGCGATCTGTGCGGTGGCCTGGCTGGTGGCCCACGTCAGGATGCTGGGGAGGGATGAGCGGGAGAAGCCCCAGACTATGATCCGGCAGCTTGTGACCCCGCTGTACGGGGAGAACACTCTGCAGTTTTACAATGAACGGTACAAACATCAGAAACACTGACTCTTACTACACAGCCTCATCTTATGATCAGCTGTGGTCTCCCTCACAGACCATTAATACATGGATTCAAAAAAAAAATGATGTCCCTCTCTCACCAGCGTGATCATTATGAGTTCCATCATGGAGCACATGTGTGCTGACGTCTTTCAACAAACTGCCGCGACCCTGCGCCCCCCAATGGAGGGCCTGGAGCCGATCCCCTACCGCAACCTGCTGCCGGCCAAAGACCCCATCCACGTGGCCCTCAGCAAGCAGTTCCAGACGGTGCTGCGCAAAGGCTGGGTGGACAGCCGGGCCCTGCATCTGTTTGAGAGTCTTCTCAACATGGGAGGGGTCTTCTGGTTCACGAACAATTTGGTCAAGGTAAGAGGACAAAAACGTTAAAAAAATTTAAAAAAAAAAAGCCCACACAAAGAGCTCTTAACTAGAGTGCGGTCAACAGTCAGATCACTGCACTGCGTCATGTTTCAGGAGCTGCTGAAGGAGACTCGACAGGAGTGGGCCGACCGTGTGGCGGAGTTGCTCTACAGCATCTTCTGCCTGGACACTCAGCAGATCACCCTCACCCTGCTGGGTACCATACTGCCCGACCTGCTCACAGACTCCGCCCACTGGCACAGCCTGGCAGACCCACCCGGAAAGGCGCTGGCCAAGTAAGCGAAGTGACGTGACGGCGGCGGTGGTTTTGGGTACTTTTGAGATCAGGGGTGTTAACTTTGCTCTCCGGGAAACTCCGCAGGTTGTCTGTGTGGTGCGCACTGAGCTCTTACTCCTCTCACCACAAAGGCTCGTTCTCTGCTCGTCAACGCAAAAGGCAGCGGGAAGATATTGAGGTAAAACATTCACACAAGGCCATATTTGGCATACGGGTTGTGTGATGTGTCACTCTGTAAAACTCTTTTTTTCAGTGTGTTAAAAGGACATGTTGAAGTATGTGAATACTGTGATCTAATTCCTTTTATTTATATATATATATATATATGTATGTATGTGTGTGTGTGTGTGTGTGTATGTGTGTATGTATGTATATATATATATATATATATATATATATATATGTATGTATGTATGT